CCCCCCCTGCCCCCCCCCCCCCCCCCCCCCCCCCCCCCCCCCCCCCCCCCCCCCCCCCCCATCCATACCCCACACCCACACCCAGGCACCCTGAACATTCCTCAGCTACGCTTCTGAATCTGTCTGACAAGCGATCAACCTATAACTCTCAATTAAACAATTAAAGAAAACTATTTATTCGTGTAAGTAACTGCGACGTACATAAACGTTTCGGGTGTGGGTGGGTGTGGGTGTGCATATGTCGTGTCTTCATCAACAACCACAGCCACACCCACCCCCCCATCCACACCCACACACGCACACGCACACCTCACACCCAAACCCCACACCCACACCTCCGCTCCACACTCACACCCCATTAGGAAGACAAGAGCAGGAGAAAATGGCAAAAAGTATGACATTCGTTGACTATTGTACGATTAATAATAGTCCTATTTGTTTCTATGACTTATACAAAGTAAAACCGTATGCGTATGACCCAACGAAAGAAGATAAAAACAAAAAAACAAATACGATCTCCTTTTTATCTAATAAGATTAATCTTATATAACTATTGATTTAGTGTCAATATTTGGATGTACTAATTTTCAAGATAGAAAATGAATCAGTTACTATATTATTAGAAAAGGAAATATATAGACTTATGTATACCGTTGTTTTCTATTACACTGCTACCTTAAATAATACAGAAATACATGTGAGTGTAGTTCATATAAAAATTCTCACCCACGCAGAAATCCATGCTCTCAAGATTTCTCAATATGAATTTTGGTAGTTTCCTACAAACTTGACGTTGTCCTGATATTTAAAAACAGTTATATGAGATTGTCTGATAAGTTTGTTGAGAAATGATGAAATCATTTGTATTAGACGTCATTCGTTATGCTTCCTACATTCTTATCGTTAAGGTAAGATTGTAATAAACTGGAAAGAAACATAAAAAATTCGTTTTGAAAGAATAGACATGTGTATAAAAATGAAAGGCAAATGAAAAAATACATGACTCATAAGTGTATGTCAATAGAACTGAGAAAAAAAGGTTTGCTACGATTAAATATATTCAAACTTTTACCAAGCAATTCATTCCCTGTCTAATAACATTAAAGAAATACACTCTGGTATGCATCTATATTGACATACAATAATGAGTATAGTAAAGCAAGCTGAATTACCTAATTTTCGCTTTGATGTAAATAGTGTTAGTAGTCGAGCTTTGATAAAACCTGTAGATCAAACAATTTCTATTAGTGGTCTCTCAGGTTCAAGTGGTGAACCTGGTATTAATGGTACATCAGGAATATCGGGAAGTTCTGGATACTACGGTGGGTCTGGTTCTAAAGGTGGCAATGGTACTAATGGATTAGATGGTAAGCCTGGTCAATCTGGTACAGATTCTCAACATGCATTGATTCGTTTAAATGGAACAGTAGAAAATTTAAATGTGCAGCTAAAAATATTTCAAAAGTTGGACAATTTGTTTGAGCCTTCCCTTAATGTTCGCTGGAATTCCTCCGATGTCCCTAATGAAGCTAATTATAATTTTCAACTGGCTAAATCAAAAGGAGTTATTCTTATTGAGGCTGTTGGAGGCAATGGTGGGGATGGAGGACAAGGTGGAAGAGGAGGAAATGGTGGGAGCGGAGGAAGTGGTGGCGATGGTCGAGATGGATCACCGGGATATAGCGGTAGCAACGGGACAAATGGTGGAGATGGACAAAAAGGCGGTTCTGGAGGTAGTGGTGGTAATGGTGGATCTGGAGGAAATGGATGGAATGGAGGGAATGCTGGTGCTGGTGGTAATGTACAAGTTCGAAGTATAGATTCTCGACTTTTTATGTTGATTGAAATGGATTGTCGAGCAGGAAAAAAAGGTAAAGGAGGTGATGGTGGACAAGGTGGTAGTTACGGGAGCGGTGGTTCAGGTGGACGTGGAGGGAGAGGTGGACCTGCCGGATACGGCTTGTCGCCAGGTACCAATGGTACAGATGGTTTTCACGGTGACAGCGGCAGCTCTGGTATATCAGGTAGTAAAGGTACTGCTGGCATCGATGGTTGTCCTGCAAGCGATGGTTCGATTCAATACATTTTAGTTGATGCAGATGATAATATTTTGGAGACAGGTTCTGATAAATATCATGCTACTGTTTGTTGTTATATTATCATGGATGAAAATCAAGATGAAATCTACGAGCCCGACTCAGATATTTTTGTCACAAATATTAAGTGGACAAATAATGGTGCAATGATTTTACCCAATGGATCTGTATTGTCAATCCGATCTACGAAATATATTTCTAATGATATAAATGATGTTAGTGTATTGACTAGTGCTAATATTAATGAAGTCTTATGTGATTCACATCGTTTCAAATGCCATATAAATTCTATATCTGCTCTTCCGATGAATCAGCCATACATTCAACCCATACAAATAACATCAGAAATTCATCTATTGAACCGTCTATTCACTGGTAGTGAAGTTTCAACCACTTTAATCTGTCAATATCCAATTCAAATTACAGATATAGTAATCCCATCATATCTAGGTCCAAACGAACGAGCCATTGTAACTGTCAATTTTACTAATATATCTTCACGATCATACGGAGCATGCTTCAATTCAGCTGGTTCTATAGAATTCATACTATCTACGCATTCTTTAATTAAAATTATACCGATGAATGAGGAATGTTTTTATCAAATAACTTCTGATGGTCGTGGTATCTATAAGATAAATGGTACAGTTACGCCAAAGTCAAAAAGAAGTATCCGTTTTGAAATTATTTTAGATGCCGCTGCTAAGAAACAAATTTATGAAGACTTATTTTGGACAATAGACTTATTATTACGCGACGTATTTATTGAAAGACATACAAATAACATTCGTGTTATTCCTGTATTTAACCCGAATGTACATACCGATATACTCTTAATTACTAATTCTCAATTTAGCCGAGCTGAATTTCTTGCCTATGAGAACTTATTTCAATTATTCAACTATTCAAGTCAAATTTGGGATATTGAACGATATGGCATATTTTATAATCAGAATGTGAATTGGTTGAATACAACAGATTTAATTATTTTTATCTATTCAAATCCTCAATCAACATTCAAAGTAATTAACTCTCAATTACTTTTACAACATATGAATTCCTCGGAAAACGCAGGTTTCATTTGTATCGGTAATTGTAAATTGAATGACTTTGATTTTGCTTTATTTGATTACAATAAATTACAATTTATTAATATGAAACAAAAAACAAAATCTGAAGCTAGAAATCATCTATGGTCTGGTATTGGATTCAGACGACCTAGTATCGAAGAAATAATTAAGAAGGGAAATAAAATTAGAAATAATTTTGAAAAAAAAGATCATACATTTTTATATCAATGCGTTTATGATAATACCATAAATACAAACTCCATGCATTTTATGACCGTTGGTTATGGAAATAAATATGTATATAAATCAACTTTAGATTCTCAAGTTGGTAGCCGATTAATTATGGTTACTAGTGATGATCCTCTATTAGTGAATTCTCATTTGCCATTCACATTGAAAACGCAATTAAGTAATAAACGTCAAAATGAGATTAACTCGCCTTATAACCAGAATATTGATAAAAATTCAGAATTTCCAAATATTATTCAACGTGGAATTGATTTAAACTCAAATTTTGGTAGATTATTATGTGCTATATTATTCTATCAAGGATTTGAAAAATCTCATGCAATAATTAGTGAAAAGCATGAATTGGCAAGTTGCGTATTTATAATGAATTCGAATAAATTTAATTTCGATCAAATTTTAGCAAGTCTTGCAATGTCGATTATAGAACGTGAATACGATCGTGAAATTCTAGAATTTCCATTATCAAAACTATTAGTAAAGCAAATAGCTAATGTGATTGAAAAAGAAAAGAATAGAACGAATGATCATGAAGTACAAAATAACGGTTGGTTATATTTATTAATTCAAGCAGTATCTGAATATATTGATAGTAAATTTTTGAATTCTTTTCCTTGGTGTAATAGTACTGACAAAGCAAAACAACGACATGAATTAATAAAAATTCTAAATTATTTACATCCATTATCAACTTATAAAATACGAAGAAACAAAAACATGAAACAAGAAGTACGAAATTTAAGACTACAAAAATTAGCAAATTTAAAATTTCCAGCAGCTGATAGAAGAGAAAATTGTGTTCGACCAATGTCAGAAATTCTAGCATGGCAAGAAGAACAAAAATGGAATGACATACAATCATTAACAGAATATTACTTTTAATTACTGCAATTCAGAGATTTTAAAAAATTCATTAATCCCATGGCAGCTGAAAGAGAGATTGGATCAATAGAAATATAAGTGCAAATTAAAACGACATTGAAAATATGTTTAATTTTCAATTCATTTCTAAATAATTTCTACTGCAACCATTTATTAACAATTGTTACTATTTTTTTGTTATTATTAAACTTGAAAAATGAAGCCGTTTTGTGCTAAATTTCATTTGATTTAGTTTATAAGATCAGATCAATGTCGTATATTCAATAAAAATGTTTTCGTTTTA